ACCTTCATAGTGAAATGAAATACAAAGAGCTGTATCTTCTTTATCTCCTACACCATACATTGCAACTTATGCTCAGAAGGGGAGGTTAAAAATTTTTAATTACTAAAGAAAACTTATTTCATTAATTAATGCTAAGACAAGAAAATATACTAATTCAAATTATAGAAAAACTTATTTGCATACATCAAAGAAAAAAGGATTTTATGAATCCTTAAGTGTAATCAATGCAGTGATACTTCCGTTTCTCAAATATCATACATAATTCATGTTTTGTTTTTCTTTCCCTTTACAAGATACTTCCTTTAGTCTTCAAAGATTCCATACCATAATTTGTTTTTTCCATTATCTCTAAGCCTTTTCTCATATTTTCTCCTCTTTTTAGATCAAAATCTTCACCGGTGCCTATATAAAACTTTAGTATGGAAATAAAAATCAAAACCACAACGAGATATCACGTCAACTCTGTTTGCATGACTGTTATCAAAAAGATAAGAAATAACAAGTGTGGAAAAAAGGGGACACTCACAGACAGTTGGCAGGAAAGTATACTGGTGCAGCCACTATGAAAAATGGCATCAGATTCCTCAAAAAATTAAAAATAGAATGACCATATGATCCAGCAATTCCACTTCTAAGTATATATCCATAGGAAAATCACTATCTTAAAAAAAATCTGTACTCCCATATTCATGCGTCATTATTTATAATAGCAAAAATATGGAAGCACGCTTTGTCCATCAATGAATGAATGGATAAAGAAACTGTGGTAGAGATATATAATGGAGTATTATTCAGCCATATAAAGAAAGGAATTCCTAGCCATTTGCAATGGTACAGACAGACTTTGAGGGAATTATGCTAAATAAGTCAAAGACAAATATTGTATGATTCATTTATATGTGGAATAGTTTTTAAAACCCACAAATTCATAAATAAAGAATACAGATTGGTAGTTGCCAGAGGCCAGGGGTTGGGTGCTAAAGGGGTAAAGGTGGTCAAAAGGTACGAAATCCCAGTTAAAACATAAATAAGTCCTGGAGATGTAATATACAACATGAAGACTATAGTTAATAATACTGTATTACGTATGTTAAAGTTACCAAGAGAGTAGATCTTAAAATTGAAAGTCCTTATCATAAGACCAAAAAAAAAAAAAAATTTATGCATAGGAATGGATGTTAACTAAACTCACTGTGGTAATCATTTCACATATATACACCTAAAACTAATCCAATGTTTTATGTCAATTATCTCTCAATAAAAAAGGAAAAGAGTTAATGGAAGAAAGGGAGGATAAATTATTGAAAATGGGGAAAAACCTTCTGTAAATTCTTCACTGAAGAGTTTGTGGTACCACAGATTTTCTTTTACCTTAAGAGAATAAACAAAGGCATATCCAAAGAATAAAAGGATATAATAAATATTACTCAATTATCTAATTATCCGTCAAATACTACTCTTCAGAATATTCCTTTCTATTTTGAGAGAAAGAAAGTGAATGAGCGGTGGGGGTAGGGGGAAACAGAGAGGGAGAGAAAGAGAGAGAGAGAATCCCAAAAAGGTTCTGTACTGTCAGCACAGAGCCCAGTGTGGGGCTCAAACTTACAAACCATGAGACCATGACCTGAGCTGAAACCAAGAGAGGAATGTTTAATCAACAAGCCACCCAGGTGCCCCCAGAATATTCTTTAATTAGAAAAGGAAAGACAAATTCTGATCAGGTGGGTGGTGGAAACATAGATTACTCTAAAATTAAAAGAATTACTTATTTTCTGAGCTACTCTATTATTTATACTTACTATATATTTATACAGTTTCAGGCTTGCCTTAGAAGAATATAAAGCAGTGTCCAAGATTATATATTTATAAAGAAACATACCAAGATAACAAACTCAAGGTAAGACAAAATATATTTCTAACAATGGAAGTAAGTCCAAACAGATTCACCTGCCAAATTCCTCATTCACCTAGCATTCTTCATCTGATTTGCCCATCCCTAATCCAACCTAAGAAGTTGCTGGGTTTCTCCCCTTTCCTGCTCCTGGACAGCTAAGCATCACTGGAGAAAAACCAAACTTACTAAACTAATTCACTGAACATTCTTGTTCAGTATATATAATATATATATAATATAGACTCAACAGGTTGTTTATCTATTTTTCCCCCACAGGTAACTATTAGAAACTATCTCCCGTCTTCTTAAGCCACCATCATCATCCCAGGTCCTTTACCTCTCCACAGATTACTTCCATTTCGCTGAAAAGTCAGAGCCTGTCTAATGTGAACTTATTCAACTTCCCTACTCTCCACCAATAATTACTTCTGTATCTTTATCCATTTCTTCTTTCCTGTTACATGTCTTAAATCAGTCCAGCAGAAGCAATGAAATACTGTGGTGTGAACCAAACAGAAAGCATCTAGATCTCAAACTAGTATCTCCCAAAAGCAATGTTGATAGTGGGGGAAGAGAAAAAAGCTAGACAGCAAGTGCTTAGTCTGTCATGCAGAACACAGTCTTTGAGAAGGAAGGAAAGACTGCATAGTAATTCTAGCCAGCAGTGAACATAAGGGGCATACTAGAAAGGGTGTTACCAAGCGCACGCAGCATAAAGACACCAAAAGGAGTGATTGGTGACATTGAGAAATGTATACCAGTAGGCTTTGTAGAAATTTAAGCCAGTAACTGGCTCAGTCATGAGATAAAGGTCCAGGAACCCTTTCCCCAAGAGGAAAGCACCTTTCTAGAGCCTCTTTTCCTAAGGAAAAGACAGAGAAGAACTAAACAAACTAAGTAGGTTTAGTTTGTAGTAGGTTTAAGTTAGGTTTAGTGGTGTGTTGGTAAATATCTAACACCTCGCTCTCTATGGAAAAAGGTAGTTATTTATAGCATTGCCAATTTCTGCAGTACAAATACTCCTAACCATAGTCGATTTCCAAACACCAACATACATCAGAGAATGCAGAATGGGGAAAAGATGCATAGCAGCACACCATTACAGTTTTTCTTTTTTTTTTGTAAATGTTTTATTTATTTTTTAGAGAGAGACAGCATGAGCAGGGGAGGATCAGAGAAGAGAGGGAGACATAGAATCTGAAGCAGGCTCCAGGTTCTGAGCTAGCTGTCAGCACAGAGCCCGACACGAGGCTGAACCCACGAACTGTGAGGTCATGAGCCAAAGTCGGACGCTTAACCGACTGAGCCACCCAGGCGCCCCTACAGTTTTTCTACCATACGTACACAGTAGACTTAAGTAAAGAGCATAGGAAATAGTTAAATATTCAGGAAGTAAAACTGTTTTAATATTTATTATCTTTCATATAACTGCAAAATTAAACTGAAAGTGTTAAAAAACAAAAAGTAACTCTCATATTTGGGATACACTAAAGAAAAATATAATTCTATAAAACTCCAAAAATAATTAATTGCAAACTCAATTAACTGCAAAGCAAAACTACATTGATTACACAGGCCAAAGGAAATTTGAGAATTGGAAACTAGAAGATTCTGAAGACTTCACTTTCTTTCTTCCAATATTAGTTTCTACTTTTACTTTAAAACACTGCCACCAATGCATAGGATCCTAAGTAGTTTAAGTCTGCTGGGGAGAACTTTCACTAAAACATCCAAGGCAATGCATTTTCATCTGAAGTCCTTCCAGAAACTTACACACTGGGAACCAGAACTCTGCAGCAGAGCAGTATTAGAAAAGTTCATAATCTCATTTAAGTAGAGAACTGCATCTCTCCATGTCAAAGCACCCTGGCCCTGGAGACTACCAAACTGGCTTTCAATTCAGAAACACCCATCTAGGATGCTTATTAACACTGCTGGCAATTTTTAATAAGCTACAGCATTTTCTTAGTAAACTCTGATTTCAAAAGCACACAATATCAAAACGTGTATATATATATATAGACTCCACTACACTTGAACAGGGCAGACCAGTAGGGCTATCTCAAGAAAAATTGACAAAAGAACACTATGAAAAAGCAGTCCTGTGAAAATGGTCAAAGAAAAGAAGCTTCCTAATAAAATCAACAGAGATTGGTTTACAAGATAAGATAATGAAATCAAAAAACATGCTTAATGTGTCTGACAAACACATTACTTTTTATATAGGTTACCATTTAAGAACCTGGAGTTTACTCTTTTCTAAAACTAGAAAGGTAATTTGTCTAAATAGAATGCTCATGTTTATTCCAAAGTTTGCCATGTCCTGTGTATTTTTCCTATATACAATTGGCCTATTAAAATTTGAGCATCTATCTCTCTCGGATGAGAACTAATGAAAGGATACAGTCCATCATATGTAAACTTTTATCAAACACCTGTAATTATGCAATATACCTAAGTTAATAAAAAAGAAAACCTCAGAAACATATGTCACATGTTTCTAGATTTGCAAAGAATGGTTAAATATAATTAGCATAAATGACCAATACCAAAAGTAAAGCCTTGAGTGAAACTAATTAAAACTAATAAATTACAAATAAAAGCATGAATATAGAAGCAAGTTTCTGATAAATTCATTCAATTTCAAAACAAAAAGCTTATGAGAATTTCTTATAATAAAGAGAATAAGACACGAGACAAAATTTATGTCTTAACTATCGATAAGATACCACAATAGCCTCAATTAACTTAAAATTCCTCTCTCAAAAAAACTATTACATATTTATTCACATAATATTTTAATAAATATTTATGCCTAATGTGGTCTCACCACAAAAATAGAAAATGGGAACTAATGTGAAGTGATAGATATGCTAATTAATCTGATTCTGGTGATTACTTTATAATGTATATCAAATCATTAAGTTATATATCTTAAATATAATTTTTAATTGTCATTTATACTTCAACAAAGTTGGGAAAATATTTTTAAAATGTCAATTAAAAATGTGCTAAAAACTTTACCATGAAATATGACATAACACTTCATCTTATACTATTGAAATGGAAAGCAAACCAGTTCTACCATTAAAATCATTTTACTTACCAGTAACTGTTTTTGGTCTTCCTTGGCATCCTTGTAAGAGGAGGGTCCAGACACCCAAGGTGGTAATGGAGTTTACAGGTATCACACAATAAAAGAAGATGCTGATCATGGTTCTTCTTACAAATCCCACAACTTTGAATAAAGGCAGCAAATAAACGATTAGGATAATAACCTTAATGAAATAGTTATTTTTAGCACATTCTTTTAATTTCAAAATTTCACCTTGAATTAATTTAATGTTTCTTCTGTTAAAATCAAGTGTTTTTTCCTTCAATGTGCCTTTTTATAACATCAATAATTATTAGTTCTAAATTTTTTTGAGACTATAGAAAAATAGCTGGATCTAGTATAATTATTATTCTAGAGTCAAACTTTTCAGAGAAAGGCATATATAAGATAGTATTCTCAGGATGCCTGGATGGCTCAGTTGGTTAAGTGTCTGACTCTTGATTTCAGCTCAGGTCATGATCTCACAGTTTGTGAGATCTGTGCTGTCAGCCCAGAGCCCACTTAGGATTCTCTCTTCCCCTCTCTCTGCCCTCTCCTGCTTGCTGTAAGTAAATAAATAAACTTAAAAAAAAAAAAAAAGATAGTATTCTCAACATCATTGCTACCTCAATTTACTTATCACTTAAAACTCATTTACTATTAGCTCAGCTTTTCTCTAGAAACATAACTATTAAACAAAAAAAATTTTCCAATTTTCTACTTCTCTAAAGCTACAAAAGAAGTTAATTACAAATTGTTTGTTTTAACATTAAGTATAAACCTTTCAATGAGTCTTCAACATGTCAATAAGCTACATTTATAAATAAGTCTCTTTTCAAAATCAAACTTTGAGTCTTAAAAATACACCAATGATATTTTTGTGAGGAACGGGGAGTTTTACTATTGTTGTTACTATTATTTTGATTTTTGTTTTCAAGGAATCTACCTTTTCATCTGCAAAAAGGGCAACTTAACTACTCGTGAGAACACAAGCACCATGACTGGAAAATCAGTTTTTTTATACTGGGAACATAAAGTGTGAAGAAAAAGTTGAGAATCTCTAAGAGCCATCCATCCATGTATAGAAACAAAAATGATATTTCAAAGTTTAAAATATCCTAGGAAAAAAAGATCACATACACACAACAACGACAACCAGTACTTGGTCTCAATGCTGCTCAGAGTGAAAAAGGACAATCACTTACAATACATTCTGAAACAAAAATGAACTGTACTGTCAGAAGCACTGTGATATGAATGCTGGTTCCAAAGAATCAATTTTGTTTGGAAAAGCTGGACTGAGCCAAGAAGTCTTGGCTATGCAAAATTACTATAATGGTAAAAATTACTATTGAGATAAAAAAGTAAATAACAAAAGCACTTCTGGAAATAAAGTTATTACAACTGAGCATAGAAAAAATATAGACAGATTAAAACCTAGAACTTATCTTCATTTATCCACCACTGTACAAAGGCAGTAATTCTGATTGTATATGATACCCATCACTACTTAAAAACACATGCAAAGCTCTAAAACTCATCAAAGTAAAATAAAATATAAATGCCCATTAAATAATAGATTATTTTAATTACTTAAGAAAAAGATCATCTACATTATTTAAAGTCACTTTCCAATTCCCCCAAGAGAACTGACTGTTCATTTCCATGGAACTTTTGGACATATATCTCCACTTATTTAAAGGATACAAGTCGCTTATCTTATCATTAAAAGAGGAGCAAAAATCTCTTCTATCATTTAACATAAAAACCATCTTTGATAAAGGTTTTGATAAAATGAATTCCAAATGCATTTAACACAAATTCTAATATGAACATAATCCACTCACAAATATTTGAAGCATCTTGTTACTAAAAGTATGAGTTTAAAAACACACAATATTAATCTATTATCATTTTATTACTTGCCTATAAAGTACTGCAGGAAGAATAGATGTCTTTTGTGTGCCTCCTTCTTTTTTACTGGGTTTTCTCTCCTTGGGTGCCCGCAAAATTGCCGGTATGTTCAACTTCTATTGATTTGAACAAATGCAGTTTATTTTGTTTTAAAGAAAAAATATAAAGCAATATTCTCCTCTATTTGCCACTCAAGTCAACTAAATATGCTAGAATTGTGAGGGAGAAATGTTTTACCAGCTATTACACCAGCAAAAAGAATTAAAATGAGTTTCTTTCTCACAGTTACTCCCATTAAAAATCTATAATTACATACTTTCATCCATTTTCAGTGAAACACTAAAACATGATGAAAATTAAACCTCTACTTTAGCTTTAAAAAGTGAAAGACAAGGACAAGCATTTAAGAGCTTTAAAAAAACCACACACAATACACTTGACAAAAAGAATATTGAAGCCGTTTATTTTCCTCAACATCCCAGCAACACGGTGCTCCATAGGTTAATTAGAAAAATTATCTTATTGGACCAAACTTTCCATAAAGTGAAGGAGATTCTTTTTGGGTTTCTACTAATCTGTAGTATGCTGGCTTCTGAGACAGCAACCATCTATCAAAGTCATTTCTCAGTGGCCTGGTGGGCCGACATCTGTTCAACCAACTGGAAAAAAGTGTCATGTGAGCAGTACAAATGAATTCTACTTCTTCTGTGTATTTTACATTTGCTTAAGGAAATTTATGAACTTCTGTTAAAAGTCATTTAATAAATGACAATGCTCTTTTATGGTACCTAATACTTTACACTAAATAGAAGATTCCTGTGAGACAATCTTGCAAATCAAGCCGAAACATAATGCTAGCTTGGCAAATAAACTAATAATAGTCTTGCACTCAATATTAACTTCTCTAAATATAAAATATAAAGCACCATAATCTTCCCCAAATCCATCAACAACCTATCAATAGGAAGAAAGTTCAATTCTCCATAGGTGACTGCTCATTCTCACCTCTTAAATTATGTTATTCATTGTAATACAAGCCACATGCATCCTGTTCACAAAAGAAGCATCTTGAAAGCTAGCATAGCACAACACAGAGAATATGTATTATTCTCTAAAATATTAAGTCTACACCAATTGTATGGTAAACTGACCCTCTGTAAACTTCTGAAACAAGTACAATGAAAAATATCTTCTTTGATAAACCTCCTTCACAAATAAGACTGCTTTCATTGTAAAAGGACCACAATCAGTCTCAATCATCCTTCTAAAATATAACAGATTATGCGAATGAATTCTTAACTTATGAATTATATACACAGTACTGAAAACAGCATTCAAAGAAATCTATTTGGCAATGGTTCTTCTTTTTAACACCAAGAACTTTAACAGTCTAGATACGCTCAAGGATAAAATAAATTTTTTCATTACTACAATCATATCTACTGAGGAGGAAAAACTACACTTTAACATTCAAGTTTCAAAACCGATCTCTTACATAGCTCAAAACCAAATTAATATAAAAATGAACCACTTGAGTTTGCCTTTTAAATTTTACATCCAAAAGAAAGGGGGTGCGGGGGACTAAATATAACATAAGAACAGGATAGGACTCTGAAATTACTAACTAAGACCTAAGAAGAATGTGGTAGGAGCAAACTCATGCTTCACATCTTAGCTTCACCACAAATGACAGGTCAATCAGTTAGAGCAAAAGAAAAAATTCTGCAAACAAGATAGTTGTTAAAACAAACAAATTAAGCTACAGGTTCTCAGTAGGCAGCTTCCAATTCTCTAGATACATTTCAGGCATTATCATTATCCCAGAGGATTAGTCGGCCCTACTCATACAATTTTTTAGGTAGGAAAGTTGTATCAGAAGTCTGATCTCTGAAAATAATATAGACAATGAGTACAGAAGGAGATAGCAATTGGAAAGAAACTAACCTGCCCTGTGATTCTGCTTAGTAAGGCCCATATTCCTTGCCCTTCACTTCGAAGTTTTCCATTGAGGTTTTGTAGTTCTTCTAAAGATTCACACAGCTACAACATAAATAATCGAAATCAATAAGCCATTAAAATATATAGTAAAACACAGGAAAATTTAACTTAATTTATCAACAAATGTCCAAGAATATCTATACTTATAGTCCATATTTTTAATATACTTAAGCCACAATACCTTGAGAGATCAGGCTATCCAATGATTTAATCAGCAACACCAATAAAATGTTAAGCATTTTGTTTTATATTAGCGTTTTTACTGACAATAACAACAATACCTGTATTTACCACTGTTATAGTTTTCTACATAATTTCATACATATCCTGCTAATTAATCCTTAAAAGTCTACCAAGATGCATTTCCACCATTTTCCCAATGAGAAAACTAAGGATTACAAGGTTTCTGTGACTTGGCCAAGATCACAGAACTAGCCAAGAACCCCCAGGTCTTCTGAATCTAATCTCAGTACCCTTTCCACTACAGATGGCTGATATTGGAAACTTACCTCTTACTGATTTTTTATCACTTAAAATAACATGACAATAAATCAATATAGGTTTTATATGCTCATGGTACTTATTAGCTAACATTTTGGCTACACCTTGCTTTTATATTTTTTCTCAGTGTTACAATGAAGAGGTAGAATGGAAATTAAAATTGGTAGGTATTTTCCTTAAATCAAAAGTAACATTACAAATTCAAGATAAAAACAATAATTTAAAAGTAACTTTGTTTTCTACAAACCTAGAAAATGAAGCTCTACAGTACACTAGTTAGAAACAAATGGAGTCAGACTGGCCTCAAACGTCAACTCTATGACTTGACTACCTATGTCAGTCTAGGCAAATTACTTCACCTCTTTAGGATTCAATTTTCTCCTCTGAAATGGGAGCAATAATTACAACTCACAGTATAAAACTGAAGTGAACATTAAATGAGTTAGTATATGTAACATGCTCAAAATTGTACCTGGCACATAGGAAGTGTTTAGTGTTAGTGATGATAATGAAGACATTAAGAGTAGGAATTGTAGGGAAAGGTCTAAAAACTCCAGAAAAATTTCAAAATGGGACATAAATAGAATGCTCTAATATCACAAATGACATCATCAACAAATCATATTATGTTGTTTTGTAGCCAACTTACCTTATTATATTCCACATGGAGTTTTTCCTGTTCATTCTCTAATTTATCCTTTATATTCTTTTGCTCAGCCATATTTTCCTGAATTTGAATCATGCGCATATTTCTCTCTATTTAAATTAAATATCCAGTTTTACTTTAGTAGAAAATAAAAGCTGATATACAAATCACACAAAGGAAGAAGGTAGCCATAAAGATGATCACATGGATAATCTCACATTACAACACTTTTAACCCTATTCACAAATATATGAACTCAACATTTTACAACAACCCACAATTTTATAGAAACATAAACATGTACTTAATATGTGTAATGTAGCATGGCTAATAAATTTCTAAAAATTGACAGTATATATTTTCAGTGGCAAAGGATTCTCATTGAAAATGTGCATATATCAGTGTGTATACTGACCAAAGTAATAATTCACAAAATCAGCAGTGAGAGCAGGTTGCTTATGCTTTCTCCTTCCATCCACACTAGAACTAGTATCGGAATTGTCCACTGGGAAGATATCTGTACTGATCCCCATTAGCTCTGCTTTCCGCATCAGTTTACGAATGGCTGAAGCACTACTAGTGAGTGGTCTGGGCAATTTTTCCCTTGGAACCCAAGCCTGGGGTCTGGTGGATCGAGCTAGCTCTGCTTTGGCACGATATTGTTGAAGCCGGGCATTGATTCTTGCCTATAAAAGAGATGCATACAAATTTTAAAAGATATTAAGATGTAACATATTCCTTACGATTTCTACTTGTATCTTTAGAGATAGTAAAAACAACCAGAATTTCCTATATCAAGGCAAATTATATCTATCCACAGTTCTTAAGATATTATTCTTGGATTACAATAGATCTACTCCTATTAACGAATTCACGTCTTAATCTATGATCCAAATGGTCAGGAACCAATTCAATTGAACTAAAGTTCCTTTTCTCAATACCTGCTAAAGTCTCTATAAATTCACTTAATTTACATAGAAATACATTTTAAACAATGGGCAAACTGATCAAATCCTTTACATAAATAAACACTGGAACACACTGAAAAAAGATACGATCAACACACTGCACTGAAAGACTAATTTCTTCTATGCCACATTTTTCAATGTATTTGGAAACGTTACCTATAAAAGGCTGCTCTGTTGACTAAATGAGGAGTAACATATTCAGCTACAAACTACACTCACCATTTTTACTTTAATGATAATACGCTTTCTAGATAACTGAATTTCATAGTTATACTTCACATGTCATTGACACACACATGAGATCTGAAATCCATAACCTTGAAAGAAAAGACACGAGTTTTGGCATGAATCCCATACCTGTGCTTCTGGTGACAGTTGCTTCTCCCTCTCTTGCAAAGACATTTTACAATAGGACTGTAGAGCCAAGTAGTTTTTTCTCTTCCATTTTCTGTCTAACCTATCTGCATGTTGCTTACAATAAGCAAAAAATGGATCTGCTATATCCTATACCAAAAAACAGAAGGGGGGGAGTGAATATTTTTACTTCAAAGGGTCATAAACAACCTAACACAAGAGATAATATTTCCTTTCTGAAGAATCTCCTATGCTATTGGTTATTTCTAAAATAAATTACAAAAGTAATTTTTATACACAATGATAAAAATTGGCGCTTTTGAAACTTGATCCTGTATATCAACTTCAAATTAACAACCATTTTTTCTTTAAAAGGGCCTTGTAGATTTAAAAACACTGAAATAAAATCTTAAATATTGTATTTTGTTAAACTTGTATACTTAAAAAAATAATCACTGTCTAAAACAAATAGAATTTTAATAATCTTAGGTAAAAGACATCATTAAATATTAAAGTTATGCATACACAGATTAATATTACAAAACAATATATCCAGAAAATACAGAACTAGCCAACGCAGGTAAGTAGAACATTTTTAACTGCCTAGCAATACATGAACAGATTCTACCCAAGACAAAAATGGATTAAGAAGGCTAGACTTCTTTTTACTTCTATTTAACTTCAATTGAACATGTTAGGTATCACCTGTAACTCTTTATATAACTCTAAAACCTCAAACAGAAAACAAAGCTCTCTCACAGCCATCTCTCAGGATACTAACCTAGTGGGTATATATTTTTTTATTCATAAAGAGTAGGGTATCAAAAACAGAATTTACTCTTATCAGAAACAAAAATAATTTGTAAATATTTAGCCAAAACAAGTAATCTGCATTGTGACTGCTACAAAATAAAAGGGAGTTCATTCTTTACGTCTGTCCCAAGGAGGAGAAATAAAGATAAGCTCTCCATATAGTTTTTATCCAAGTTATGTTAGAAGGGTCTCTTAGTAAGATGGGGTTTTATAACTCAAAGAGAAACGATGACACAAAAAAAAGAAGCAAATGAGAAAGAACAGAAAGGGAAACAACAACAAATATGAGGTGTCCTCAACATAATAAAAGTGTATGATGCAATTCTGTAGTGTGATATCCACAGATGTCACAATAAGGCACTGTGGATAACATCACAGAATTTAGAAATACAAAAGGCCTGGACACAATCTGAACCACTAAAATTTAATGCATGAATGATTTCAGTCCATTAAGTCAAAGGTTATGGGGGAAGAAAAATCAATAAAAATCTATACTCTTATATTGTTTCAAAGAGAACTTTCTACATGGTAACAGGGTGACAATACACCTGATCACAGAAGAAACTACCATATGGTTTACATGAAATATAAGTAACCTTAAGGCTAACTATATGGTGTGAAACATAATATAAATTTCAGTCAGCATAACTGAACTTGTGCTATTGCTCAATTTTAATAATAAATACATTACATAACATGGTTTGAATATTCTAAATAATCTGGAATTCTCACAAAGCCGATCAGAAAGAACAGAAACTTTTGGACTCTGGGTGGCTCAGTCAATTGAGCATCCGACTCTTGATTTCGGCTTAGGTCATGATCCCAGAGTTGTAGGACTGAGCCACATGTTGGGCTCTGTGCTTACAACATGAAGCCTGCTTGAGATTCTCTCTCTTTCTATGCCCCTCTCCCCCACTCATGTGTACTCTCTTTCTCTAAAAGAAAGAACAAGAGAGAGAGAGAGAGAAGGAGAAAGAAAGAAAGAAAAGAAACTTCAAACGGACCCTCACCAGTGAGATAAAAAGTACTATGAGAAGGCTATAAAAAGTCATTAGACTATGGTAAGGTATATGATGTCACTGGATGAAACTAGGGTACGTAATCTCTTTTTCCACCTTTCTTTTACTGCCTACATAGAACAACCATTAAGAAGAAATCCCACTTAACAAGTCAGTCTTCAAAAGGGGGAGAAAAGCTTCCTCAAATGTCATATAAAATTGAAACAGAAGATATGCCCACAAATAAAAGATGTGTCTTAATTTAAAATTTGTCTTTTAATTAAATATACTATTATATGGGGCGCCTGGGTGGCATAGTCGGTTAAGCGTCCGACTTTCGCTTAGGTCATGATCTCGTGGTTCGTGGGTTCGAGCCCCGCGTCGGGCTCTGTGCTGACTGCCAGCTCTGAGCCTGGAGCCTGTTTCAGTCTGTGACTCCCTCTCTCTGACCCTCCCCTGCTCACGCTGTCTCTCTCTCTCCTAGAAATAAATAAAAAATATTAAAAAATATATATATATATACTATTATATTACATGAATCTTTGTCTATAGAAGTATAACTGTAAGAAGTAGCCAGGAACTTCCTTTAAAAGAATGATTATTGCCAAGAGCAAATCTCATTGATAACTGATTCATAAAAAGTCTTGGATTTTAAAACATTGTTCAGAAATCTTTATAATTTTCCAATTTTATAAGTGTTTTTAAGACACCAGAAACATATGTAAATATGTTTAAGTTATTCCCCACAAAAAAGTCCAGCGAAGCAAATGTGAGGAAAAGTCACATTTTATTATTCTAGCATCGAAAATTCCTACCTAGTAGCAAGGTAAAGGAAAAGCCTCAGGTCCTGTTTCTACATCCTGATTTATTTCAATTTCTCTCATAAATTTCCCCAGATTGGATTAGAGATAGAGACATTCAGGCTACAGATCCAAACTATTTATTTAATGTAATACTGTGTTTTGTTTGTTTCATTTCCATTTGCATGCCTTTAGATATGAGGATGTACTCTCTAAATCAATATAGACCCCCTTACATTCCACTGTCCTGTTATGTGGCTACTTTACACCTTTTCATTACCTACTGTCTACCCCCCACCAAAAAAATGGTGAATGGTAAGATGCAAAAGAACCCAAACTGTCATAGTATGAAAGGTAAAAGCTCTCAATAAGTTCTAAAGGAAATGGCTACAAAGAAGTCTTCCTGATTGCAAAGCTCAAAGTTTTCTATAAGTACAATAATAACGTATCCTACAGATTCCGTAATGTAGGTGTTCACTTGGGATTTATCTATCTGGTCTTCTAAGTCTTACTTGTATTGCCCCTCTGCACTTTTGCCCCCCATCTTGAGTGGAGTCAATACTAATCCACATAACTCTATTATATAATTAATTATGCCTTTTTGTCTGCCTAAGAGCTGTGAAAATGCTCAATATTTACCCAGTACCCTTCATCAATTAAAGTACAATTCATAAGAATCAAAGCCTGGTACGAAAACACATATCCAACATATAACTGCTATAGAACTGATTTATTCATAAAATATATGCCTCGGGGCACCTAAGTGGCTCAGTCAGTTGAGCATCCGACTCCAGCTCAGGTCATGATCTCATGGTTCATGAGTCGAGCCCCGCACCAGGCTCTGTGCTGACAACTCAGAACCTGGAGCCTTCAGATTCTATGTCTCCCTCTCTCTGTCCTTCCTCTGCTTGTGCTTTGTCTCTCTCTATCAAAACTGAATAAACATTAAAAAATGTAAAAAATATATAATATACCCCTCAATACCTGCTCAACAAATTTTCATTAAATTATCTTTTTCACTTGTTTCCTGTCTACAAAATAAATGGGATAAGATAAAGACCCAATATAAAAACATACTGTTATAGAACACTGAAAATCTACCCAGTAAAAGAAGGAACACAAGATGTTTAGACATACCACAGATCCACCATGAATACACAGTAAGAATTACCAAGCAAACACTCAAATACCTATCTAACATAAAGAACTTAAAGAATCAACAAAACTTAGCCTCAGGACTCCTTAACAGTCTTAAAAATTATTGAAGATCTCAAAGAGATTATGTGAGTTGTTTTACAAATAGTCCCCATTAGATATTTAAAAAGAAAATTTTTAAATATTTATTCATTTAACAATAATCCTTTACATGTTAAGATAAATAATACTTTTACTAAAAATATTATAATTTACATACAAATTATGTAAATGTAGAAGAGTAGCATTGTTCTACATTTTCAAATCTCTTTAATGTCTAGAGAGCTCACATAAAAGATGGCTGGATTCTCAAAACTATTTCCTCATTCAATATGTTATATTGTTATGTTATATAATCTCTGAAAATCTCCACTATTGCTCATGAGAGAATTAAGAGTTAAAAATATATATACTACTTTCATATTGTTACAAAGATACTTTTAACCTCACAAACTCCTTGAAAGAATATTAAGGAGTCCCCAAAGTATTGAAAAACAAAACTGTCTAATCTAAAGCCAATAAACCTGGGAGGAAAATTATAAAATCAAAAACACTTGTAAAGAGATAGAAATACAGATACTGAAGACAGGGTAATGATTTTATTTAAAGAAACAGGGCAAAGTTATCCATATATAATTTCAGATCTTCCTATAAAAGATGCTGACCTTTTAATGCTTTAAAACAACTTGGATTATGTTTCATTTTACCTGTCATATCTCACTATAAAATGTTTAACATATTTTCCAAATGTCTGACTAGCTTTAAGACTGAAAAACTCATATATTGTTTACTCTTGAAATTTTAGACCAGTGACCTAAGCAAAGACTTTAAAAATAAGCTTGTTAATTTCTCTTATGATGCACACCTATCGTAGGACAGAAGAGTCCAATGAGACATGAATATATTCACCAATGATGGTTTGAAATAAACCTACCTCTTCTGCTGCTGCCTCCGAAAGAAGACCTTCCTTCTGGGCACAGGTCACATGGAAATAGGCTCTGCACATCCCTGCATCACAGCTAATGCAAACTCCAGTTCTAGCAAAACGAGGGTCTTCACAGAAGCTACATTCCTACAATGGAGTAATAGGAAAACTCTCAGAATAAAAGTATTTCTAAAACAAGACTGCACTCTCATACAAAGCATCCATAAAATACAAATAGTTAATCAACAGTATATCAATACAAACAATAACTGTGGGCAAGAAAAGAGTTTATATGAAAAAATTCTCTCTATAATTCTAATGAACCAAAACTCCACTGATACAATTATGATTGCAGTAATAATAATAATAATAATAATGGTTTACTCTGTGCTATCCACTATTTGAAGCACTTTATATATTAATATATAACCATTTGATCATTACACACGAATATAGGAAAGAGGTATTATCGCCATTTTACACATGAGAAAACTGAAAACAGGTTAAGAAATCTGCTCAAAATAACACAAAAAATAATTGCCAAATCAGTCTTTAAACTAGGGTAATCTTAAGGTCATTGTTCTTAACCATTAAGAAGTCAGAGAAATTCACCAAAAAAATCTAAATACTGCAACCAAACAAATCATTTTTAAAATATCTTCAAGAGAATTAAAAAGTAATTTTACGTAAACAATTTGATGAAATTGGTTGTGATACACAATATAGCCAACTAGTTACATCCTTTCTGAATACAAAGGGAAGAACTGTAACACTAAAAGTTTCAACTATTAAAATTACCCCCAATCCTCCATAAATTTATTTTCTTATCCTTCTCACTATCTATACCACAGAGAGAGAAAAACAGTCTTAAAATATCAACTACTCTAGTGATAGGAATCTTTGTTTAAAGAAAAATCTGCTAAATTGTGAAAGACTGCCAGCAGACACTTAAAGAACTGTTTAGTAAATATATTCTAAGCAAATTCAATATAAGGGAAACATATAGAGAAGGAAATTTAAAAGTCTCAATAGACACTAAAAATATCATTTTAACACTGTAACAGTAAGTGACTACCTAGTGGGTAAACAGCACCAAACATACAGCAGCAATGAATGAGAATAGCAAGAACAGGAATCTGGGTATAAATGTGAAAACATTCTCAAATCCTGACACTCTACTACTTGGTTAAAGTTTTTTTGTTTGTTTGTTTCCTAATAACAATAGAAGGTGTATGGTAGAAAATATCAGCAGATTGTAATCTAAACATGAGACCAAAAAAGAGAAAAGGAATGAGACAGAAGGAGAGACGATGGAAGAGAGAGAAATGAAGAAATTAAATTATTTCAATAATGTCAACAGCACAAACAAAACCAAAATGCTTAAGAAGTTCCCAAATTAATTTAATGTAATATAATGAAGTTGATGAAGGGATTTCAGAGTGAATATAAGGAAACATTTCCTGACCAAAAAACGTCTTTAAAAGACTATAAAACAATCTAACAAAGAAATGGGAATCTTCTTCAATTGCCTAAATCATTTAAAATGCTAGGACTAAGCAACTGACAACGCAGGGGAGAAAGTAACCAGGATTAGGAAATGGATAGACAATGTGGTCTAGAAGAGGTGTCCCAGTTATAATTCACAACACTGTTTGATTTTGCAGATGAGCTGGAGAATGCATAATTTTTTACTCCACTTCCTAATCATACTTCAAAACAAAAGAAGGTGATAATGAAAAAATCAGCTCATGATTACATACTTAATGATTCTCTTTTTCTGTTCAGAGGTCATTGCTGGTTTCAGTTATATAAAGTGATATCTGGTTCTTGTTTTCTTTTTTCAGTGCTTCTAGATTTATATTTATGATAATAATGTGTGCCTACTGAAAATTACTTAAACCAGTCCATTCTAGGCTCTGTGTTTGTGAAATTTGAAGCTGTTCTCAAAAAGCAGTAACTTTCACTTCCAATAATGGTGGACTAGGTAATTACTAGGTAAGTATTAATCCTGCTAGAAACCAGAAAATGTGAACAAATAATTTTTTTTAACTATAGCTTAAAAGCATTAAAAAGATAGTAAGATAGTACAGAATTACCTGAGGCCAGGAAAGTAAGTTCAGTGCTGGGGCCTACTTTTCTCCCTGGGAGCTTTAGCTAATTCTAGAGAAAAACACTGCAGATAGCTCAATAGAAATTACCCAAACTAAAGCACAAGAGTACTGGAGTGAGGCTGGAGGGTAAGGGATAGGGGCTGTGGTTAGAGCCTAAGGAGAATATTCTGGATATAATAGCAGAAGCTATCAAATTTTTTAATTTTCAGGATCAGAATTTTCCAAAAACCTTTAAGTTTCCTACCCATCTTAATGTATTACTGATGCTACCAGAGTCTTCCTTCCCAATTTCCTAAAAGACAGTAATGGAAGAAAATGTATTGGTGCCTAATTCGTTCTAGTATTCCAGGAATGTCTGTAATAATTATATACCTAAGTTTAACTTAATAAGTGAATTTTTATCACTTATAATCCTAAAGCTTAATCAATAAAAACTAATTTATAAATTATTGAGGCTCAGAATGATTTGCAAGGGAGGCTATTTGTCATAAAAAAAAAAAATAAAACAGTCCTTGAAACTTGAGTAAAACAACAGGTGCCCCTTGTCCTCTTCCTAATTTTGGTAAATTCCACCTCAAAAATAAAGTCAGAAATTGGGTTGTATTTGATCTAACTGGTCTGAGAACTCATTTGTACTAAGCAGTATGCAAAATACCACGGAAATAGCAGTAGTATCAATTATCATTTTACTCCACAGGTAACTCTAAATTAAGAATACTTGGAAGAATTTATAAATTATTGCCTTTCTAGGAAAAATACTATCAATAATAAATGATTTAGTGCTAACTGTTCTACAAATTGTATCATTACTAATAAGCATTTCTGTAGACAATCAAATACACTTTGCCTCACCTTGGCACCATACTTGGAATAGTTCATTTCTGTCAGTGTTACTGGTCGTAATTTGTCAATATCTCCAAAGGCTACTCCAGGAACATACAGAGCACAGACAATGTGAACCCATCTATAAGGAGAGAAAATGTGATTTTGCTATCAAACTCTTTCATAAAATGCCCACAAGGAAAATAAAGATAAAACATGTGTGTATCATCACACAAGTAACTACTGAGAGACTTCTAAGGTCAGATGTTCAGAATCTCACACAACTGAAGAATACGGAATAAGCACAATTCAATAAGCACTACTTTTCTATCAGCTTAGCCCAAGCTAGGAGTTAACAACTATAACTGTCTTTCACTTAAATTCACTGCACTTTGCACTTACCTGTTATTCTTAAATATGTGCACAAAACCACTATACAAAAGAAACACGACATCATTTTCTTATGCATGGGAAGATTCACATTCATTATTTTAAGCTCTCTGAGAAGGATCCTAACTTAAAAACTGTGAAGCAATACTGTAGTAATAGGTAAAATTGCTCTTTCTTGTTACTTTTTTTTAAACGCAACTGGAGAGTTCATCAGGACAATTTAAAATAATTTTTGGGGGTGCCTGGGTGACTCAGTCAGTTAAGAGTCTGACTCTTGATTCTGGCTCAGATCATGATCTCATGATTTTTGAGTTTGAGCCCCACATCAGGCTCTGCACTGGCAGTATGAAGCCTCCTTGGGATCCTCTGTCTCCCTCTCTCTCTGCTTCTCCCCTGCTTGTGCTCCCCCCCCTCTCAAAATCAATAAACTTAAAAAACTAAAAATAAACTAAAACAATTTTTGGTGTCCATCCTGACACTCTTTCTTCCCAGGTTAGAGCTGATTGCTAGAAGATTATATAGAACAGTTATATAATATACGGAAGTCCTATTTCATTCAGCTAATCTGTTCACCATTCAACCTTTGTACTAAAACCTACATGCCCCACATGTATTTTTTTTTTTTAATCTGAATGATGCTGCAACATGAAACAAAGAATGCTCAAAGTTTCAGTACACAAAAAAGTTTCAGTACGTAGAGTAGGGAGTTGATTCTAATTCCATTTATTTAAAAGCTGCACTGAAACTTTTGAAATGCATTTAGGAACCCTTTCTGTTTACTTACAACCACACAATATATGCCATCACTGGTTTCAAAATTTTAAACAGATCTGTATTCCTTCTTTAAGAAGGTAAAAATGAGATGACAAATCTCTCTTAACCTTGTGACTATATTAACAATAAATTTTGCTTTATCACAGCTTGAGAGGCTATGATTGATACATGGTTGTCTTTTTTGACACACTATACGTTTTAATAAAACATGACAAAGAATCATTTTATAGAGGTACTGGGGAAAATAGTTACAAATCTTTAAAAATTATTTTTATTGAGAAGAAAATCCAAGATTTTGCGATTTTCTTGATAGACTGTTTTAATCCAACTTCCCAAATGCATCCCATGGAGTTCAATATAAAGATACACATCTTCAACAAGCAGCTGCTTTCTCAATTTAACTTGCAGTTTTTTCATGCTCCACTGGTGTATTAAATGCCACTGTACTCTGTAGGAGTTTATCTTTGATAAACCCAACAGCTGGCTGCTTGCTTCATACTGACCTTCTGAAAATGTTTTAGTACAAGTCATGCAAGTACTACAGATTTAAACTGCCATTTCAGTGTGATTGGCACACAAATGTATCATTTCCCCAAAGCATCCATGTGAGGATGCCAACGTGGGTCTTTATTAAAATATGTATCAAACAGCTGAGACAATTTTCATCCTTTGTAATACCTGTTGTAAATAATTTTTTGTTCATTTGTTTAATTGCACACACTTTAGAACTCTATAATTAAGACAAATTGAGAAATCAAAAAGGAATAATCTTCTTTGCTATTCTAACATCCATTTTGCTTGGAGCTATGACAACAGATGTTGATTGGGGAAAGGAACAGAAAACAAGCACCACATAAAGCCATCAAAAAACAGAGTCAAAACTGTCATTCTAGCGTAGAAATTATTAATAGATTCTTTTAAACTCACGTATTTTAATAAAGCAAACTACCAGATACTTATCAAAGGCTCACTCAGAATGGGAACTATTTTATTTTTTAAATGTTTATTTGAGAAAGCACAAGCCGGGCAGGGGCACAGAAGGACAGAGGATCCAAAGCAGGTTCTGTGCTGACAGCAGTGAGCCAGATGTGGGGCTCAAACTCAGGAACCTAACTGTGAGATCAAGACCTCTGTCAAAGTCAGAGACTCAACCGGCTGAGCCACCCAGGCGCCCCAGAATGGGAACTATTTTAATCAATCAAATTTGATATTGAAACACATTGTATTTGTAGTACTTTTACAGTATGTAAAATAATCCACTTTGTTATTTTCACACCTTCATTCATTCATTCAGTAATCAATTATTAAGTGACTGCTAGAAACAGAGCACCACAAAGGCAGTTCAGAAGTTACAATTATGTAATGTGAAGTGTTTTCAGCATAGTGCTGGGCATGCTATCTCTAAGTTATTAGAGTCTGTCTATTATTTCCCATAATCAGACCACTTAAATCAGGGTAAAATACTCTTCCTAAGGAATGGAAGAGTTCCTACATTAAACCACACCATTTCCTATGTAGAACTTGCGCCTGTCATCAGAAACAGGGAAAAAGCCCATGTGAAGTCAATTTCAAAACCTTGTTCATTCTTTACCCCCATTTTCCATTTGAAACTAGAATACTATACGGCTTTCATCAAATTTTCTTGGCTATTTTTTTGCCTTGAATCAAAATCAAGCGTCAACAGTATCCTTCAAACAATATCAAGATCTATAATTTCCACCATAGCCTACAGGGAAGTGTGGGCATCAATGCAAAAAATGTTCAAATCCTGTAACAGAACTTTTCCCCAGCTGTACCATCATGCAGTGTCTACACAGGAAAGATCCACAGGAGTCAGTGCAAATATTTCTCAGTAAATCTAATTAAAGAGGCCTCTCTTTTCTCCATACAGAAAAAACTTTACAAGCTGTTCTGTGAATTATAATAGCATGAATAGATAGGTACTTTATAGGTTTCCAATAGAACTTACAAATTATGAACAAACATAAAACAAATTCTCTTCCCGAAAAGGAAACTGTGTTTTCCAAAGTTGTCCTACTTATTCACCACAATTTATCACCAAAAATTTCAGCCCTCAGAACTAAATAGTTGCCAGAAGGAATTTATGCAGCTGGTACTCTATGATTACCTTAATAAAGTAGAACAATACTGGCAATAATAAAGCACTAGTAGCAGAAGAAGCAGGAGTAGAAATAAGGAGACATTTATTAACCACTGACATTCCAGAAACTATATTGTTTATAGGAATCACCTCATTTAATCCTCTCAAAAGGGCTAAGGAATTAGAGGTTTAAAAATGCTAAACCACATGCCTACAATCACAGTAAGAAAAGACTAGAATCCAAACATAAGCAGTCCAACTTGAGAGCACATACTTCTAATGCTGTACTAAACTCCCTAACTCTGCTCCAAATCAGTGCAAATGTGAAATAATGCCCATGTAAATGATACAGACTAAAGATTTTATTTTATCTTCTTAGATGGGCAATGAGGAAGAAGAGGTAAGATTTTTAGCCATTTTTCCTAGACATCAACACCCAGGGTTCTCCAAGATCCCATGGTAGATTCTATGCTATCTCAACAATTTTATATGGCAACATTCCTCAAGGGCCTCTCTACTAATTGAGTTTGAAGAATAAGAAAAATATTTTTTACTGTACTAAAGTAACATGTATTAAATTTTAAAGACTATCCTTTATTTTGGGACAAAATGTATATCCTATCCTTTTCAACATTAAAATATGGGAAATAATTCTGAAAATCTGTATAGGTTATCTTGTTGTTGCTGTCTAAATATTAAACATGTTTTTAAAAAATACTGAAATCATTGTATCACAAAATAAAAAACAATATATTTTAGTACTCCTCGATACCAGGGAAGGAGGGGCGGGTAGTGATCCATTAAATAAAGTTTCAATCATCCATCCCAGATGGTAGTCTCTTGGACAAAAACCAGCAGCATGGAAAATGCCAACACTATTATGACAACAGTTCCTCAAATTTAATAATAAAGGTGAGTGTGAACATAGGAAAAGAATATAGGTCTTTGTGCCAGTTATCAATTTACTCAGCTCCAAGTCCACCTGTAAATATCTGCTAAATATTAAATAATGAACAAAACCCCTTTAGCACTTCTCCTTTACAGTGAGCATGACAGTAAGCTGTCTTAGCAGAAGTGGTAGAGAGCACTGCAGGAGGAAGCTGCTTCTCAGCCAGGATGAAGAAGGACATCTGCCAATGCTCTGCCTCAGCTACATACACCTACTCTCTGTGACCTCACAGGCCAAGACTGGAGAAGACTTTTCTGTGGCTTTCCTAACACAGATACCACACACTACAGACGTCTCACTGTTGCCCCAGCTCCCTCTGTAACCTGTGCCTAGACACCCACTTGCCAAGAACTAAAGACCAGTTCTGGCCCAAGTAAACCAGCAAACATCTCCGCCCTCCTGTAGGTTACAACTACATCTTCTCCAACAAGATCTGAACCTCAGCCTGGTGGTGGGGTCTTCCAAGTCTGTCATTCCCTGGATACTCTCCCTCAGCCTTAGGGTATCCTTTAAAGTTCTTTTATATCATAATTACTCATTTTTTTAAATTTTTTAAAAATGTTTTTATTTATTTTTGAGAGAGAGAGAGAGAGAGAGAGAGACAGAGTGTGAGCAGGCGAGCAGCAGAGAGAGAGGGAGACACAAAATCTGAAGCAGGTTCCAGGTTCTGAGCTGTCAGTACAGAGCCCAATGTGGGGCTGGAACTCATGAACCATAAGATCATGACCTGAGCTGAAGTTGGACACTTAACCAAATGAGCCACCCAGGCACCCCCATCATAGTTACTCTTTATCATAGCTTAGTAATTCTGTAAATTAAACTTCCCCTTTTAAAATCACTGTAAGGGTTCTGTCTCCTGATATACTCATTAAGTCAGATACATCTGGGTCCAAATTGGACTGTTCACCAGTCTGTGGCCCTGATCAAATTAAAATTACTTAATGGTCTGAGCCTCCAGTACTATACCTATAAAATGGAAAACTTTAGCACCTGTCTCATCATGGAGTCACTACTGGAAGTAAATAGGACTATGAGCATAAAGGCAAATACAGATATCGATAAATGGTCTTTTCTCCTCCTTCCCCTGATCTGTAGCCTACTGCCCATTTACTCCATGCCAAAAAAAATATAAAGACACAGTCAAATTAAACTGTATAACTGAAAAAATTATAGTCAGAAGCAGACATATTATAAAGCAGGCACATTAACCCATCAGAATTATGACATCAACCTTCCAGCATCTGTCTCCTTGAAAATTCCATCCTGATTGGGACATAGTTCACAGCTAGGGGAAACACCACATTTACAGGCATCACAAAACCAAGGTTCAGTGGAGTTTTCAGAAGCTGAACTCATAATTGAGTCACTCTCTCCATCAACTCCATAGCAACCTAAAAAAAAAAAAAAGAAAAAGTATGATTAAATAATTTATAAAGTCACAAAACAAAAAAGGAAGTGAAAAAAATTTGAAAAACTAACGGTTTATAAAAATGATATTAAAGTCAAAACACTTAAGTGAAATTTTATAAAAATACTTTCACCTACCATAGTATGCACAATGAAACAAATAACTTTTTTTTAAATGTTTATTTTTTTTTTGAGAGAAGGAGAGACAGAGGATGAGCTGTGGAGGGGCAGACAGAGAGGGAGACACAGAATCAGAAGCAGGCTCCAAGCTCCGAGCAGTCAGCACAGAGCCCATCAAACAATGAGATCATGACCTGAGCTGAAGTCAGATGCTTAAGTGACTGAGACACCCAGTCACCCCAAAGCAAATAACCTTTTGGAAGAGTTTTAGATCTACTGCAAAATCATTACAGAAGTAAAATAAATATAGTGTCCTTTAAAACAATTTTTTTAATTTAAAAAATTACATAAAAAGGGAAGTTTTCATTAAAAAGAAATCAGATTGCATCTACGAACTATTTATTAAGATTTATTGTGCTCCCTTTGTAATGGACACTTAAATTTATATAAGACCATGTGCATGCAAAACAAACATACAATCAAAGAAGCCTCTAATCTAATATTGGAGATGGAAAGATAAAACAAAAACCCATAGAATCATAAATACAAAGTTAAGTATTAGTAAAAGGAAAATAACACAGAAACTCATACAGGCATAAATTAAGGCTACAGAACAATCTGAATAGTTCAGACTAGAGTCAAACAAGCTGGGTTCCATTCACAACTGAGCCAACTTCTAGCTCTAGAAGGTGTTTGATCTTTTTTAAGCATTTATAATTCTATCTTCTGTAAAAATTTATTTGTAACTGAAATTAATGAAAGCAAGAGATTCATCTTTTTCTGTTTAACTTAAAAATCTGAGAGAAGTTAAGTTATTTAAGCCAAAAATGCAGTAAAAATTTTTAAAGATTCTCATAAACATACCAAACAAACAAGATTAGTTAACATAGGTCTTTACATTTTATATTAGGTCATGTTATACTTCAACTATCTTTTAATTCTTAAAAGCAAAAAGTTTCCTTATCAATGCAAATATACATGCCTGCAATTATAAGTATATTTGAAGTTACTATGTGGGCTTCAGATCTGTCTAAACTTTTTATAAAATCAAAAAGCTCTTCCTTAATATTGAACTTAAAATGAATATATTAGAGGGGCACCTGAGTTGCTCAGTCAGTTAAGCATCCAACTTCAGCTCAGGTCATGATCTCAGATTGTGAATTCAAGCCCTATATCAGACTCTTTGCTGTCAGCACAGAGCCCACTTTGGAACCTCTATCTCCCTCTCTCTCTGCCCTGTGAGTGGGGAAGGAGAACAAAAAAACATTACAATAATGTTTTAAAAAATAAGCAATAAAATAAACATTAAGAACAAAAAGAAGACATTAGAGGTCAAACCTAAAAGCCAACAAGAAACTCAGGTACAGCACCACTGTCAACATTTTGGTAAGATCAGGTTCTCACTAAAATTCCTAAAACTCAATTTTGTTAGTGCCTGAGAAACGAAGCAAACTCACTAGAAAGTGATGTCACATACACTGTCATGAATAATTCTTTCTCAGTATAAAAATACCAAGAAGAATCTATTGGCATGAACACAGTACTGATAAATATGGAATCCAAGAAAGGGCAACTGAAAAGTTAACAGGTAATTTCACTCAGACTATTAAAATCCATGCCAAACTCTTGATGACTTATAATAAAGACCACTGGTGACTACAATAGTCATGACTCCTAAATAGTTTTCTTTTCCCTTAATGAGGCTTGACACACTTTGACACTTCATATTATCTAATTTCTCTTCTTTTAGAAAGGAAGACACTATACTTATGGTAAAATATCCTTAAGAGGAAAAAAAAACGCACAAATGGTAATACACAATGCTAAAAACTGAATACAGGTTATAATTTAAATAGCCTGGTAGGAAGAAAACTAAGAAGTTGGTTTACAGCTATGACTTATATAAGCTGCCTCAAGCAGATGCCATAATTGTCACCTTTATGCTGTTCAAAGGCTTTATAACTGGGAACCTTAACATGATCTGGAAATCATGCAAAAGAATGCCAAAGAAAAGGTTTCAAGGGAGCTAGACTACAGTACACAAGATGAGCAAAGAAATAAAAGCTCATTAACTTAATATCATTAAATTGTGGTTGGTAATAATCATCTCCACTTCTGTTTAAATATACATTTTTTATGACAAACCCTAAAATGAAACGGAAATATCATTTTCTTGAGAGGAGTTATTATTGACTATCACCAATAAAACAAAATTTTTCAATAAAGGCAACAGTTAACAAGATACTGTACTCAAAGCAATATCACAAAACAATAAAATACAATCTGCTTTTACAAAGGGTTATACAATACTACCAGGAAAGAATGTATTTTTTTTTTAACAAAATAATGTTCCTTTGAAGTAAATTCTTTCATCTGTATTCACACAAAGTAAGCAATTACCAAAACAGCAAGGCACCCAAGGGGCTATCTATTATATTCATTTCACTCACCAAAATCAAGGTAAATCACAGCAGTTTTTTAATAAAGAAAATTTCAATTCCAATTTTTAAAGCAGACACATGACACACAAGTAAACACACAACACAAATTTGCAGAGATTAAACCACCTAATAACTTCAACAATGATTTTTGCAGGATTCTCCTTGGAAATTCCTACTCTGTAACCTAGAAGATTGGCACCAAGTAAGTTCCAAGAACTTACAGCAGGTGCAGAAGTATTTCTTCTTCAGCTTCAATGTCCTTGAAAGATGATTCACAGTACGTTGTGACCTTTGAGTTCTTCACCTGCCACTTTTCCAATATTTCTCTGCCATAACTATTGGGTTTACTGACCAAAGTTCAAACATGTTACATCCACTATAATCCATTTTAATTAATGACTTAATCCATTTTTTAAAAGTTTCTTGAGAGAGAGAGAGAAAGAGAAAGAGAGAGAGAAGATATGTACGTGTGCGCACACAAATGGGGCAGGGGCAGAGAGAATCCCAAGGCAGGGCTTCAGTCTCAGGAACCATGAGGTCATGAACTGAGCCACAGAAATCAAGACTGCTTAACTGAGCAAGTGCCCCAATGACTCAAGATATTTTAAGATCTTTTTCTTTCTTCTATACAAAACAGAATAGAACTACCATGAAACAATGTTTATTTCTTTCTACCTATATAATTCTAAGTAGAAGATGCAAAAGTACAAAGGATTCTTTTTCATCTGGGTAAACACATAAAATGATAGACATATTAAACCTATTTCGTATAGTTTTTTTCATGTTTTCAAATGTTTAGACATTTAGAATTGAAAACATGTTTCTATGGCCATCTAATTAGGATCAACTTCTGAGCAACACATGAAACCTACACAAGTCATATTTAAGGAAAACTAATATAAATGTGTTTACAATTGTTCTGATTTATACAAGGGTATGGAAATTTTCCCCATTCAACTTTTCCCAGGGGAGCAGAGGACCTGCAGTCTTCCAACTTCTAACTATGTAACTTTGGACAAACTACATCTCTGAGGCTGAGTTAAACAACAGATCTGCAATATGTATTTAATAATATCTCTCCTAATTATCTCACAGTATAGAAAGAAAAAAATAGGAACCCAAAAGTTGTCATTTAAAAACTTAAAACATTTTTTCTGTTCTTAACATCCTATCACTAAGACCTCTGATTTTTAGTAACAAAAAAAAAATTTAATACTGGTATTTGAGAAAAGATGCATGACACCTATGACAAATATGTCCTAAAGCATAAAAGAACCAAAGTTCTACTGACTTATAAAGTTCAAGTAGTTTTAACTTGAACATACTTTACCACTCAACAAATATTCATAAGGATATATTTTTGCATATACTAATAAAAATGGTTGAGGGCTAGTTAATAGGCAATAGACTGAAAATGAATAGGGGGAAAACATCTCTTACTAGACCTTATCCCATTTAATGCATCAGCTAAACCTAATGGTAACTGCTGCCAAGTGCATTATCTAATGCTCTATCATGTACTATATGACACATAGAGTGACAGTTTTCTTCTACACAATGCAATCAGTGTATCAGGATAACTGACATCACACTCAGGGGTAACCCTACTATTACAAGTCAGTTATAAGATCTTGTCACAAGGTGTTTATACTAAGTGACAAGTTGGAAAAGAACTTTATCTATATTTAGATGAAGTGAGGACTCTGAAAAGTAATCAGATGGTTATATATTTTATAAGCAATATTTCAAGTACTATCTTTTAGCAAAATATCAACTTAAACACTTCTAATATGCTTAAGAAGAAGTATGTTTTAAAAAAGACTAAAAATAAAAAGAGGAAGAATTAGAAGAAAGAAAAGATAAAGGAAATATACCAAAACACTAACCTATGGTTGTTTGGTTATTAGGATTGTTAGAAATGTTTCTTCTTCTCTCTGTTCTACATTTTATTTACTGTGTATTATATTAGGATGGACAGTTTTCTCAAAAATGAAACATTCAGGAAGTTCCTGTTTAACCATGAGATGTTGAAGAAAAATTTCCATGGCTGAATTACAATATAGAAGTTTGTCACTTAGGCAATTATATTTAAAACAAACAAAAAACCCAGCAACACTAGCTTTCTATTAAGCTTTAGAAAATTTCTCTTTCTCTGGATTAATTTTATATAAAAATTCATTTTGGAACTTAAAAAGTAGTACAGAAAGATTTACAGCTATAGCTGTATAAAAATGAACTTTCTAAACAATGAAAAATACCACAAAGTTAACAAGTTCAGGAAAGGGTGAAAAAACATTTGCAAGAATGGAATATGTTAGCAACACATACAGGATAAAGGATTAACATTAAAACAAATTCCAGTATATGAATGAGAAAAAGTAGAACCTATCAAGAAATAACAAAGGAAATATAGAGCAAGTAAC